GTTAAGAGGAGATTCAATAGAGGTGTTTAAAATCATGAGAGGTTTTGATTGAGTAAATAAGGAGAAACTGTTTCCTGTGGTAAGTGAGTCAGTAACCAGAGGACACAGATTTAAGATAATTGGCAAAAGAACCAGAGGGGAGATGATGAATTTTTTTTAACGCGTCGAGGTGTTACGATCTGGAATGCACTACCTGAAAGCAGCTTTCAAAAGGGAATTAGATATGTACTTGAAAATGAAACATTTGTAAGGCTATGAGGTAAAAGCAGCGGAGTGAGCCTACTTGGATGAATCTTTCAAAGAGCTGGAAGGGGCACTATAGGTGCACTATAGGCCTCCTTCTGTGTTGTAAGGTTCTATGAATCAGATTGCAGTTTTAAACTCTCCATTTGACCATATACTTTATCTTGTCATTTCTAGATATTGGCTTGGGGTACAGGATTTTCTCAGGATTAGTATGCGGATTGAATTTGGGAATCATGAGCTATGCTGGTTTCCTTTTCTTGCGTCCTCAAATCAGACTAACAGCTTCATTTTTGTTAAACCAATGTAAGTGAGGAGATTTTTTTTTACGCAGTTGTTACGATCCGGAATGCACCGCCTGAAAGGTTGGTGGAAGCAGATTCAAAATTAACTTTCAAAAGGGAATTCGATATGTACTGGAAAAAAATTGCATGTTATGGGGTAAGAGTGGGATGATGGACTTGCTGGACAGCTCTTTCAAAGAACTGGCACCTGCAAGATATTTGAAATTCTGTTTCTCTTTCTAGTCAGGACATTGGGTTCAAATTGCAAAATTAAAACCCTCTCTCCCCTTGCCCCACCTGCTTTGTGAGTAATGATTGCATGTTTTGCACAGTCACTTCACCTTGCTCCCTCCCTTGCCTCCTTCAAAACCCTTCTCAAGACCCTCCTCTTCAACCGCAGCTTCAGTCACCCTCCTACCCCCACTCTCCTTGCCCTCCACTCCTCCTGATCTGGACCCCCAGCTCGGGTACAAATCCCTTGGGACATTCTCCTGACATGAAAGGCGCTATGAAAATGTAATTTGTTGTTGGTGTTGATGAGTTAATAACTAAATTATAATGGTCAGTTAAATTGTTTTTGGGAGTACAATTTACATTTCCCCATTATAAAAGATTGTCAGCAATATAGACGACTGGACCAAGCAATGGAAAACAGGTGACTTCCTACACTTTACTAAACCATATTAAATGATTTTGAAGATTTCTATTTGGGCAAAGTGTATTCTATATTCTGTACATACCACCTTAGAAAGATGGAGAAAAAGCTTTTGCATCTAATCATTGCATGATATAAATTATATCAATCTCACAATGTGAAAATATTTAAGGATATAGCAAAATGGATCAAATCGTTACATTGGAGAGGTGAATGGGTTGTTTGTGACAAAAACAATTCTCTTCCAAATATTTCCACATGGAATACAAAGTGTGGTGGAAGCAGATTCGATAAGCTTTCAAAAGCGAATTGGATATGTGCTTGAAAACAAAAAAATTGCAGGGCTATGGGTTAAGAGCGGGAGAGTGCGACTATTTGGACAGCTCTTTCAAAGAGCCGGCACAGACATGATGGGCCAAAAGGCCTCCTTCTGTGCTGTAAGATTCTATGATGTTCCATTTTTAAAAATAATCTAATTTCATTTGCTCTCAGATATTGGGAGCGTTTTTCTCTCAAATGGAGCCTTTTCTGTAATCGTTTCATGTAACCTGATACGAAAAGCATACCTAATTGGTGAGTATTTCATACAAATGAAAAACTCTGAATAGAGTCATAGGAAAAAACTAAAGTATAATTAACTGCTGGGGTGAAATTAGGAGGCAGTTTTTCACGCAATGGATAGTGGAATCCAAAATCGAGGGGATACACTCAGCCACCTCTGCCCTGTCAACGGCCACCCCCACACCACCTCTCCCTCATGCCCCAGCCCCCATCCATCCCCCCCTATACTCCTTCGACCCTATCTCTTCCTCCTACCTCACCGCAATTGTTCACAAATTCAAAACCACCACCTGCTCCCTCGATCCTATCCCAATCTCTCTCCTCATCTCTCAGCTCCACTTTCTAGCCCCTCTCCTGTCCGACGTCATCAGCCTCTCCTTGTCCACCGATTCAGTTCCCACCCTCCCAAAAACAGCCGCCATCACCCCCATTTGAAAAAATCTTCCCAGGACCCATCCCTCCTCTCCAGCCGCCCCCATCTCTAACCTCCCATTCCTCTCCAAGTTTCTGGAACAAGTTGTCGCGTCCCAGCTCAGCTCCTTTCTTTCTCGCCATTCCCTCTTTGAACCCCTCCAATCCGGCTTCCACGCTGCCCACAGCACAGAAACAGGCCTGGTCAAAGTCACTAATGACATTTTGAACATCTGTGATCAGGGCTCCCTCTGCCTCCTTGTCCACTTCGACCACTCCATCCTCATTCACCACCTCTCCTCTTTACTTAATCTTCTCTGACCTGCCCTTGCCTGGTTCGATTCCTATCTCCCTCACTGTCTCCACTTTTGCCTCTTAACGGTTTCTCCTCTAACCCACACTGTCACGTCTGGTGTCCCCCAGGGCTCTGTCCTTGGCCCTTTCCTCTTTAATATCTACATGCTCCCCCTTGGTGACATCATCCGCTGACATGCGTCAACTTCCATATGTATGCGGATGACACCCAACTCTATCTTTCTGCCTCCACCCTCAACTCCAGGACCACTGCTGTCCTGACAGACTGCGGTGGGACATCAAGTCCTAGATGAGGGCAAATTTCCTGCAGCTGAACATGAACAAGACTGAGGCCCTCCTGATCGGCTCACGCCAGTGCCTCAGCACCTCAGGCTCTGGCAGCATCAACCTCCATGGTTGCACACTACAACTCACCAGACAGTCGGGAACCTGGGTATCTTGTTCAATCCTCAACTGTCTTTTCTTCCCAACATCCAAGCCATGACCCGCTCTGCCTTCCCACACCTCCATAAATCACCCGACTCCACCACTGCCTCATCCCTTAGGCCGCTGAAACTCTTGTTCATGCCTTCATCACCTCCAGGCTCGACTATGCAAACGTTGTGCTTATTGGCCTTCCCAACTCCTCCCTCCACAGTCTGCAGATAATCCAGAACTCTGCAGCCCGTGTCCTCTCCCACACCAAACTCCGTGACCCCATCTCCCCCATTCTCGGCCGACTCCATTGGCTCCCTATCCTTCAAAGGATCCAGTTCAAGATCCTGGTCCTCACCTACAAAGCCCTCCTTGGCCTCGACCCACCCTACCTCTGCAACCTCCTAACCCCCTACCAACTTACCTGCTCCCTCCGCTCAGCCGGCTCCAGCCTGCTCATTGCCCCCGACCCACCCACCTCACCATTGGCAGGAGAGATTTCAGCCAAACTTCTGCCCCCAACCTCTGGAATTCCATCCCCCAGTCACTCCGCCTCGCCCCATCCTTAGCCTCCTTCAAGTCCCGCCTCAAAACGCTCTTCTTCGACCATGCCATCAGTTATCCCCATTCCCCTCCCCTCCTTACCCCAGCACGAGCCTGAAAGGCTGTACACTGTCCAGCGCCTTGGGACATCCTCCCGATGTGAAAGGCGCTAAACAAATTAATCTTCTTCTTGTTGGAAATCTGGAACTTTCTTCCCCAAAATGCTGTGGATTATGGCTGGATCCATTCACATTTTCAAAACTGAGGTGGATTAGATAGTTATTACGTCAGGGTATTAAGAGATATAGGGCAAAGGCAGATAATTGGACTTGAGGTATAGATCAGCTATAATCTAATAGAATGGCAGAACAGGCTCGAGGGGCTGAATAGCCTCCACTTGTTCCTATGTTTCCACATTTCCATTACTTCATTGCTCACAGAACAACAAATAACAACAAAATTACATTTGTACAGTGCCTTTCACATCAGAAGGACGTGCCAAGGCACTGGGCAATCAATGTTTTGGACCCAAGCTGGGATCGGGATCGGGGCGGGTGGAGGGCTGGGGTGGGGGAGGAGGGTGACCGAAGGCATGGTCGAAGACAGGGTCTTGGGATTTTGAAGGAGGCAAGGGAGAGGGTGAGGTGGAGGGACTGTGGTGGCAGAGGGTAGGGCGGAGTGGCAGAAGGCCCGCCCACCAATGATAGGGCGGGCGTCGCGGTGGATGTGAAGATGGCAGGGCTTAAAAGGTCGCAGAAGTAGGGGCAATGAGGCCATGGAGAGCTTTGAGGGTGAGGATGGATTGATTTCAAGATCCTCTCACTTGTCTACAAATCCAATGCCTTGGCATCTCCCTACCTTTGTAACTCTGCTGCCCATAAGCTGACCCGGACCAAGCTCCATACCCACATGTCACCAATTCTGGCCAGGCTCCACTGAATGGATCGACTTGAAGATCCTCACTCTCGTGTTCAAATCCATTCACTCTCTGGCACCTCCCTACTTCTCCGACCTCCTCACTTCCCAATCCATCAACCGGCGCCTCTGCAGAACTGGCACCAGCCAGTTCCTTGCATTCCTTGCACCCTCCTCCCTACCATTCAAGGTCATGCTTTCAGCCACTATGAAAGACTCTGAAAGACTCTCCCTAAATCCCATTGCCTTGCTCCCTCTCTCCCCTCTTTCAAGTCCTGCCTGAAACCTTTCCTCTTCGACTGTGCCTACGGCCAACTCCCCTCTCCCCCGCGGCTAGGAGTCAGGCTCTGCCACTGTTAAGTGCTCTGAGGTGTTACCCTGAATGGAGGGAGCTAAACGTTATAAGTTGTTGTTGACCTTTTCTTCCCACTCCACTCCTATTGCCTCTGCTCAGCTGGCTCTGGCCTCCTGCTTATCCCTTGTCACCTCCGCACAGCCATCATGGATCATCGGCAGTATTTGGAAGGATAGACCCGGCGCTAGGGCAGGGAATCCTCCCACTCAGCTCCTGTTAACCCTGCAAGCCAAAGCCCTAATGGGTAGGATGGTCCCTGATGGACTGCACCAGGAAAGCTTGCCAGTCAGCAATATCGATGTGGAGTCCTGTAGCTCAGTAGTTTTGAGCACTCGCTTTGTAAGCGAGAGACCTGGGTTCGATTCCCGGCAGGGTGAAACCTTGGGCAAGTTTCCTTACTCCATACTCCTGATAATAATCCCTCAAGAAAAACAATAATATATTGGTCATTTCAATCCATGACTGTTTGTGGGACACTGCTGTGTGTAATTGGCTGCTGTGTTTCTCCCACAAATATACAGTCAATTCACTTTACAGTCTATTCTGGGAAGCACTTTGAGACGTCTAGAAGATATGAAAAGCGCTATATGAAATGCAAGGATTATTATTATTATTTAAGTTACGCGGTTTTCGCTGGTTAGACTCCAGCAGTTACCTCAATGCACCCTCTGGGTTCTCCAAGCCTTGACCTTTGCCAACCTTTCTGGAATTCAGTAAGTAGGATACATCCCTTCAGGGAAAGAGTGCGCATGCTCATGGATGAGTGAGCATTTATAATAATAATAATAATAATAATAATAATCCTTGCATTTGATATAGCGCTTTTCACGTCAGGAGGACGTCCCAAAGCGCTTCACAGAACACACTGTAAAGTGAATTGACTGTATATTTGTGGGCGAACGCGGCAGCCAATTGCGCACAGCTATGTCCCACAAACAGTCGTAGATTGAAAATGACCAATTTATTATTGTTTTGGGTTTTGGAGGGATTATTATTAGGCGTGTGGAATAAGGAAACTTGCCCAACGTTTCGCCCTCTGCCTGGAATTGAACTCAGGTCTCTCGCTTGCTTGCAAAGCGAGTGCTCTAACCACTGAGCTACAGGACTCCATGTGTAGGTGGAATGCATGGAATTCTCAGTTTGCTTAAGTATGTTTCTACATTCTACACCTGACTGACCAAAAAAAAGGAATATGTTTGAACTAAGCTTTGAATTGTAATTAAAATTTATGTCCACAGTTACCAAATGCAGAGATCCAGGTATGGTGATAGCAACAACCAATATTATTATAATGGAAGTCTATATCTCTATCATGGGAGTAATGGTTCTCTATTTTGTCAAGCTCAGTAAGTATCAGTTATACAATTATACTTTCAGATCATTAGCAGAACTAAAATATATATTAGGCACATTGTTTTGCATTATTGACTTTAATGAATTTGAAGTATTCTGACTATGTCCAATGCCTTCTATACTTACATTGATTCAATGAGGATGAAATTAAATGCATTACATAGCAAATGTGACATTAAATCATCCAGGGTAGTGTCCCATAACTCTTGTCAGTGGCGGATCACAAGGCCGATCCGGGGAGAGGTGACCATAGATGTGCTCAAAGAGGAGGGTCTTCATGTGCGACATGAAGATGGGGAAGGAGGGGACAAGGTGGACGGATAGCGCAAGATGTTGGAGTTTCAGGACGTAGTGACTGAAAGTGTGGCCACCAATGGTGGAATGGAGGGCACGAGGGACAAGCAGGAGGCCAGAGCCGGCTTAGTAGAGGCAACGGATAGTGGGTTGGGGAGTAAGCAGACTGGAGAGGTAGGGATGTGCCAGGGCATGAAGGGATCAGTGGTGTAATTGGGGAGAAATTTGGGTGGATAAATTAAAATGCACAAGTTATCTTGTCTGTTTGCATTTTTTTGGGGAGTATTCCTGTGCCACTCTATCCAATGGAAAAGGCCTTAGATTTCCACTGGGATATCACAATTTTGACTATTGCTTCCCAGGTTCATTCAACATCTAAGTATCAATAGAATTATAATCAGCAATATCAAAACATCACAGCCATCAATTCATAAAACGTATTCATATATTTTGCCAGATAATGTTCGCCCCACTACTAAAGTCTTTAATGGACCAACACTATTCTTTTGAGTCTGTATCTCCTAGGTTTTTGTAAGCACAGAAATAAACTTGTTAAAGAGGACTCATACAAATATCTTCTGGAATGTTAGCCTTAGAGCAGAGAAGTTTCAGGGGATATTTATAGGTGTTCAAAATTATGAGGGGTTTTGACAGAGTAAATAAGGAGAAGCTGTTTCTCCTCGTAGGTGGATCGGTAACCAGAAGACACAGATTTAAAATAATTGGTAAAAGAATCAGAGATTTGATCAGGACAAATTTTTTCACGAGGCAAGTTGTTATGATCCGGAATGTACTGCCTGACAGGGTGGTGGAACCAGATTCCATAATAACTTTGAAAAGGGAATTGGATATGTACTTGAAAAAAAATTCCAAGGCTATGGGAAAAATAGATGGCACAGGCACGATGGGATTCTGTGCTGTAAGATTCTATGATACTGTGATTTTTTTGACAAAAGTCAAATTTAGAACATTGTATATTACTATTACTGTATTTACTTTAATTACAGTGTCGAACTGGAAAGTAAGACCACAAAAATACAAAAGGAAACATTAAAAAATTGCTACAGGCTTTATCGGTCCAAGGTGAATAATAGTAAGTGTTACGTTTACACTTTTCACTTCGGGAGGATGTCTCAAAGCGCTTCATAGCATGTACTGTAAAGTGTTGTGACTGTGTTTTGTCGGCAAGACATAATTAAATCAGCCATTTAATTTAATGATCAGCCACAGCAGTATCCCACAAACAGGCAATAAAGTGAACGACCAATTTCTCTTGTGAGATTGTTGGCTGGAACACTGGGAGAGAGGAACTTCCTCCTCTTTTCAAACAGTGCCGTGGGATCTTTAACATCCATCTGAACAGACAGATAGATGGGGGTACTCTTAACATCTCACCTGAAGCGCTTCACAGAATATATTGTAAAGCGGATTGACTGTGCATTCTGTGGGTGAAACGTGAGAGCCAATTGTGCTTAGCAGTGTCCCAATTTTTTTTGAGGGATGATTACCCCCTCAAAGCAATCTGCCAATTGACCGGCAAATGGGTTCCTACTTGATGCTGGGTAAACAGAGGAACGTGGAGTAAGGAAACGTAAGATTATATTTGTGATGTTTAATGTTTTTTAACGATTTTAATTAAGTTTTATTAGAATGTAACCTACCCATAATCCTTTAACAAGGTTTATTTGATTTAATGTCTAGCTTAGCAGGAGTTAAAAGTAGCTTTGCTGGTCCGGTTGAGTTTAGCTTCTGATTACATTTCATATTGTCCTGGAAAGATGTTGACTCCTCTGAGATAATGAGCAATCGAATCCTTGAGCATAGATGTCATAACAATGGACCACAGAAAGAAACGCCTAAAGCCTCAGACACCTGCCTATATCAAGGCTGAGAAACACGCAGGGTGTGAAAGACTGCCCAGAAGTTGCCCATCTCTCTCTCTGCAAAGCAGCCTGCGAAGGGCTATCTCTGTGACAAGGGGAGGTGGAGTTAGAAACACACTATGTTGTGTAGAAGAAAGATGTAACTTTGAAATAGAGGGTCAGCGCTCTTCCCATTGGAATCTATATTGATTCTACTATATCTATGGTCTTAGTTTTAAGAATAAGTTAAGCTGCTTGTATTATAATAAACGTTGGATTATTACACCATTGTATTGGTCTTCTGCATCCGAATATCTCTTCCAAGAGACCTGCCTAAGGTTTTACCCCACCCAAGAAACGAACCCAGGTTCTCTCGCTTGCGAGGCGAGTGCGCTAACCACGACGCTACGGGACTCCACTAATAATCGTGAAGACAAATTCTTCCAGATATGCTGATTTACTTGTTTCTTTGCAGGTGACTGATATCGGAGGAATCATTATGGCTACTTTTAGGATGACCTTTCTTTTAAACCTCAGTGTTCTAAGCAATAATTTATTTTTCTTCTTTTCTGGAATGATTCAATTATTCTGACCATTTTCTATTGTGAAGGACTTACAAGTGCTTGGCATGGTAGGACATGAGAATTTTAAAGTGTTCATTTATATAAATTGTTTCTTTAAAGCCTGCATAGATTCAATGTCAAATTAACCTCTTTAACACCTTAAAGAAAGAGTAATAAGATAGGATACAGACAAAATGGCTAGCTTGCAGATTGCAGTATTGAATTGTTAATGATACTGTCTTCAATTAGAAATCAGATTTGCAATGTTATCCTGCCTGCTGACACTCCGAAAATGTGGTCATCTTTAGACCACGTTGTGATGGATTTGGGGAGGGTGACGTGCAGGCACCAGTCAATCTCTGAATACGGTGGAAGCCACTTAAGCAGGACACCAATTAAGCCCGGGTGTTGGGTAAATCGGATAAAACATCCGGATCAGATTCATTTGTAATCTCACCGGTCTTAAAAACGTCGGTTAATCCGTACAAAATGCCACACCATTTTGTAGTCACTGTGTCACCAGGGGCTCGGGGAGGGAGATGGGAGGAATACAATAGCGATTGATTGGCAGCGGACTCCAGCCATCAAGCAGTGGTTTCCGGCTGTCACTCAGCAAGGGAGTGAAGGGACAGGGCAGACACAAGGAAGGGAACGTGAGGAGTCAAATCTGGATTGAATGACAACTCAAACCGCTTGTGAGAAGTGCCCATCCATCACACAAGCGGCTCCAGACTGTCAATTACCTCGGAGCTGCTGCTAATTGGTTCCCTTCCTATTCAGTGGAAATGGCAATGGGAAGGAGGAGGTAATGGAACTTCAATTAACCTCGGACGGCACTTAAGTTGAACAAAACGGTCGATTCCGATGTGTCCTGGTTTAAACGGCTTCCGCAGTATTTTGCATAATTGATACACAAAAATCTGGAAATTCATCCATAGCTACAAAAATTGTTACCAAATTCATATTGTATTACAATAAACATTAGCTGTTCCAGCAATACTGATTCACATCATTCTTCTCTTTTAGAACTTCTGAAACCAGGAAGAAAACACTCTTGAGTGTGTATTGCGTCTTGATTTTTTTAAGTTAGAGCCCCCCACAACAATTCATTACTCTTGGCAATCATTGCAATAGTATGGAAATTCTAATAACAATAGTAATCCTTGCATTTGATATAGTGCCTTATCACGTATTCGAGGCGTCTCAAACTGCTTCACAGAATATAATGTAAGGTGAATTAATTGTGTATTTTGTGGATGAAACACAGCAGCCAATTGTGCACAGCAGCGTCCCACAAACAGTCGT